TTAGACCAGTAACAAGTTCTGAAATTGAGGCAGTAGTAAATAGCCTACCAACCAAAAAAAGCCCAGGACCAGGTAGGTTCACAGCCGAATTCTACCAGAGGTACACAGAGGAGCTGGTATCGTTCCTTCTGAAACTATCCAAACAATAGAAAAAGAGGGACTCCTCCCTAACTCATCTTATGAGGCCAGTATCATCCTGATACCAAAATCTGGCAAAGACACAACAAAAAAAGAAAATTTCAGGAGAATATCCCTGATGAACATTGATGAGAAAATCCTCAATAAAATCCTGATAAACCAAATCCAGGAGCACATCAGAAAGCTTATCCACAACGATCAAGTCGGCCGTCATCCCTGGGATGCAAGGCTGGTTCAATATACACAAATCAATCAACATAATCCATCACATAAACAGAACCAGTGATAAACAAAACAAAACAAAACACATGATTATCTCAATAGATGCAGAAAAGTCCTTTGATAAAATTCAACATCTTTTCATGCTAAAAACTCTCAATAAACTATGTATTGATGGAACGTATCTCAAACTAACAAGAGCTATTTATGACAAACCCATAGCCAATATCACACTGAATGGGCAAAAGCTGAAAGCATCTTCTTTGAAAACCAGCACAAGACAAAGATGACCTCTCTCACCACCCCTATTCAACACAGTATTGGAAACTCTGGCCAGGGCAATCAGGCAAGAGAAAGAAATAAATGGTATTCAAATAGGAAGAGAGAAAGCCAAATTGTCTCTGTTTGCAGATGACATAATTGTATATTTAGAAAACCCCATTGTCTGAGCCCAAAATCTTCTTAAGCTAATAAGCAATTTCAACAAAGTCTCAGAATACAAAATCAATGTGCAAAATTCACAAGCATTCCTATATACCAGTAACAGACAAACAGCCAAATCATGAGTGAACTCCCACTCACAACTGCTACAAAGAAAATAAAATACCTAGGAATATAACTTACAAGGGACGTGAAGGACCTCTTCAAGGAGAACTACAAACCACTGCTCAGGGAAATAAGAGAGGACACAGAAATGGAAAAACATTCTACACTCATGGATAGGAAGAATCAATATTGTGAAAATGGACATATTGCCTGCCACAAGTAATTTACAGATTCAATGTTATTCCCATCAAGCTACCATTGACTTTCTTCACAGAATTAGAAAAAACTACTTTACATTTCATATGGAACCAAAAAGAGCCTGTATAGCCAAGACAATTCTAAGTAAAGAGAACAAAGCTGGAGGCATCACGCTACCTGACTTCAAACTGTGCTACAAGCTACTCTAACAAGAACAGTGTGGCACTGGTACCAAAACAGAGACATAGATCAATGGAACAGAACAGAGCCCTCAGAAATGACACCACACATCTACAATCATCTCATTTTTGACAAACCTGACAAAAGGAAGCAATGGGGAAAGGATGTGGGCCTTAAAACCTAGATGACAGGTTGGTAGGTGTAGCAAACCACCATGGCACATGAATACCTATGTAACAAACCTGCACGTTCAGCACATGTATCCCAGAACTTAAAGTAAAATAAAAAAATGAGAAAACAAAAATGTAAAAGGTATTATATGCACACAAAGCTGTAACATAAAGTACTATGGTACTGGGGCGTGAAAGCAGGGACATAGACCAATGGAACAGAATAGTGAGCCCAGAGATAAATGCAAGCATACACGGTTAAACTAACTTTAAACAATGGCACCAAGAGGACTCAATATGCTGTTGGTGGGAATGTAAAGTGGTACAACCATTATGGAAAACAGTATGGAAGTTTCTCAGAAAATTAAAACCAGAACTACCATATGATCCAGCAATCCCTATTCTGGGTATGTACCCAGCAAGAAGTAAAGTCAGCCCATTGTAGAGATACCTGCAGTCTCACATCCATGGCAACCTTATCATAATAGCCAAGAAATAAAAATAACTTAAGTGTCCATCAATGGTGGGGGAGGATAAAGAAATATATACGGGGTTTTCTAAATATACAATTATGTCATCTGCAAACAGTGGGGTTTTCTAAATACACAATTATGTCATCTGCAAACAGAGACAATTTGACTTTCTCTCTTCCTATTTGAATACCATTTATTTCTTTCTCTTGCCTGATTGCCCTGGCCAGATACATATACATATGTATACATATATGTATATGTATATATCCACGACAGTTTGGTTATATACATCTATCTCCACCACAATTATGTATATATGTGTATTATAAATAGATAATACATATACATATGTATACATATATGTATATATCCACCACAATTTGTTTATATACATCTATCTCCACAATTATGTATATATGTGTATTATAAATAGATAATGCATATATATAATACATAATATACATATACATTATATATATAATTTGTTATATATAATTTGTTTCAATATATTTTCAATTTCTAACAAGAATATTTTATTTTATATATATAATTATATAAAGTATTTTTCAGCCTTATAAAGGGAAATCTTGCCATTTTTTACAACATGGATAAACTTGAAGAACATTACATGAAATAAGGCAGACACAAAAACAAAAATACTGCACAATTGTACTTTTATGTGAGATCTAAAAGAAAGTCCAATGCACAGCATCGTGGTTGTGGGATGTGCACAGGGAGAGGAAACAGAGAGATGGAGGTCAAAAGGAACAGAGATGCAGTTGTATATTATGCATAAGTCCAGAGATCTAATGTACAGCATGAGGACTATAGTTAATAACACTGTATTATATATTGAACCATTTTTTAAACAAGCAGATTTTAAGTGCTCTTATTCCAAAATGGGTGATAACTATGTGAGATGATTAATAGGTTAATTTGCTTGACTATAGTAACCATTTCACTATGTATATCAAAACATCATTGTTTTATGTATATATGTTTATATATGTTATATATTAACATATATAACAAAAACAAACAGAAAGGAATTATATTCTTTCATACTAATATATTCCATTACAAAACATACACAAACTGAAATCAAGTTAAAGAGAATAAGATAGAGGAAATACTATTCAAAAATAATTTTATTGTATGTTTTAATCAAAAGCACTTTTTACTCTCACAATTATTAGTAATTAATACTACTTAGTGAGAGTTATTGAGTATTTTTATTTATATTTTAGGACCTTAGCTTACATTTTATAGTACTGAGGTCTCATTCCAACATTTGATTGCCTTAGCTTCATTGCCGGGAAGGATCCATCGCAAAGATGCAGAGACCCAAGTGGAGGAAATCCCTGAGTCTGTATTAATGCTATTGATGTATTCTCAATGATAATACTTTTAAATAACACCATCCAACAGTTAAGCAGACATTTTTAACAATTTTGCTTAACATATTCAATATTACTCAATAACTATCAGTTGTTCTTACGTACTAGTGAAAGCTGTTGAATCTTTATACTTTAAAATACATTATTTTAAAGATTTTATGACAGATTAGAAAATTTTATCTCCACGTTTTAAAAGTACACAGACACTAGATGTTTTCAGATCATGCTTTTACATGTTTTCTGTTAACAAATCCAGGTAGTTATGAAACCATATCCAAACAAACATAACATTTTCAGAATACTCTCTCTGTAACATATTTAAAGCAAATAATATTTGCTTTTCCATTACCGTGAAAAATTACCTTTATCTTGAAGGGGCACCTGACATGAAGTGTGTGTGTCTGTGTTAACAGACAACCCCACTAGACATCACAAGAAAGGCTGTAAATTTGAAACTTTCATTTTAAAAAGAAAATGCACAAATCATTCTTAAGTTTGACAACTTGTTTGAGTATTCTGTCACAAGATAACCACTGAACATCTGTCTGGAAAAAAATTTGTGATGGTTACTTTCTAGTTATTAAAAAGTCTTGGAGTCACTCTGCCATTCAAAATAACACAAATCTAACCTTGCCACAAGCAAAAAGGGCCACTGTCAATTGCCATGTGTTGTGGAATTACCACTCCTGGGTTATAATATCACATGACCCTGAGTAAAAAATGATTCCTCTAACACACGAACCAAGTAGGGGTACCATGAATACCCTTATATTAATAATGAGGAAGTTATTACAATATTTAGCTCAACCATCTGTATTCAACTTTTGAACAAAGGTGAAGTACCATGGAGCACTGGGAAGAAACACAAGTATAAGATTGACACCCAACAGGAGATACAATACATTTTTCATCCCTTCTAAATAAAAAAATTTAATTGGACTCTTTCCTACTCTCTATTTTGTAGTATGTGTGCCATTAAATAGTAAGATGTGTAGCAATCGAATTTAAAAGAAGAAAAAGTGAAAGGAGAAAGGCCTTTGAAACCAGTAGACTGTATATATACAGAAGCAGACAAAACGGAGTGCCCTTCATTTTGACTAAGGACTCTGTTTTGACAGATTTTCTTGTGAAGTTAATATAAAACTCCATAACTATGCTTTTGTACATGGTTCATGCCAATGATTAAATATTCAGTTTTATTCATTCCTATATTAATTACAGCAAAACCATAATAACAATATCTGCTTCCTCCACTGTAACAGGGTCTAAATAGAAGATTATCACCATTCAAACAACCTGAGGAAGTTTTAATGGGACTGTTAAAAAAGGTTGCAGGGAGGAAAATCACAAAGAGTAGACCGTACATTGGGGCCAGTGACATTGATGCTGTTAACACTCAGGCCTGAGGTGAGGGACTTCAGGGACGAGTCAGCGGCCATGAAAGGAGCAATGAAGACACAGCCAGTTGAAGGAGAGTACCACAGATAGGGAGGCAGAGAATACATGCCCTGAATTCTCTTTTTTCCCTGTAATCTCCTGCCGGGACTGCCAATTGGCTGTATCCAACCAAAAGCCAGGGGCAAGAGAGACTCTGGACGTTTTCCATGGAAGGGATCCCCCAGGTCAGGGGCAGAGAAAGGGTGGAGTGGGTCTCAAAAGGCCACTAACAAGATCATCTTCAAATTCATTCCCTTCCACATGATTAAAATAATTAAGTGGCAGATTGGCAGGGTCTAAATTCTGTGTTTATATAAAAAGATTTGAGGAGATTATACAGTCTGTTGCTGTTGCTCTCAAAACATGGCTAATTATAGGGTTTTCAAAACTTATCTACTTTTCTTTCTCTTTTAAATAGGCAATGTATCTAGGTTACAAAATCCAAAAGATGCAAATGAGACTACAATAAAAATTAAGTTTCCAGTCTTCTTCTCTCTCTGCCTGTTTTCTCCTCTTTAAAAACATGGCACCTAATTTATTTTGTATCCACTCAGAGATGATCCAGGCAACTGCACTCAAGGTAAGTAAATAACGACTTCTTTTACATGACAAGGAGAGTATTATGCACCCAGGCTGCGTATTGCTTTTCAAATGTAATGATACATCTTGGGATAGTTTACAGTTAGCTCGCAGAGTGCTTTCTAAAGTAAAAGGAATTTCATTTGCATGAGTATAGCAAAATCTTTTTACCAATTCTATATTGATGAGTATTTGTTTTCATTTCTTCACAACCAAAACCACTATATTATACATACATCATTTTGAACATATCTTAGTGTATCTGTAATAACCAAAAGCAAAATTGTTTTGTGAAAATACATGTATTTTTAAATGTAAAAGATAACTGATAAACCTCCATAACATTTTAAACAATTAAATTCCCATCTTTAATTTGAGATTCTGTTTCCCCACATTTTCTTTAGTAGGCTGCCATCAATCTTTTATTTTTTGCCAATCTGATAGGTGAAAGTGGTATATGATTCTATTTTATAATTCAAGTTGAGAACCAATTCATGTCTTTAAGAACTACAGACAGTATATATTTTTAATGGATATTTGCTTATAGTCTTCAACCCTTTTTATGGGTTTGCAGGAATTCTGTGTAAATTAAATAAATTAGTTCTTTACCACGGAAAAGACTTGATACATAACACTGATTTATTAAAAAGTATTTTCCTAATATAAAAAAGTCTTTGATTTTTTTCTTTTGATATTTTCACTGTTTCTCTTTCTGTTGCTGTCTTCTAACTTTTAAAATATCTGGTGTATTTTAGCGGCTTGTGTTAGTTTTGGATCCATTTTCCCCGCTCAGCTGAACATCCAAACACCATTCATTAAATAATCTATCTTTCCTCTACTGATTTAAAATTTTTTGAAAAGATATAATTTCTTAAAGATAATCGGGTATATTTCTGGTCTTTCAATTCTGCTTCATAATATTATTTGGCAGTCTTCTCTTTTGACAAGTATCACATAATTTTAATTATGGGTAAGGACAAAAAATGATCATAATTGTACTAAAATTATAAAAAAGCATCCACTGTGATAGAGAATGATTATGAACATATCAAACTTGGGACATAACTTGAAAGGATTCTTTGGGTTTCGGCTGAAACAAAGGGACTCGTAAATATTTTTTAATACAAAGAATAAATAAAAGTATCTAGGTTATGTTAGGGAAAAAGTCAAATCAGTTCAAGCACAATGAAGGAAAAGCATGAAAAAAATAGTCGTTGTTGATGTTGTTATTTGTCATTGTCATCAGAAGCATCAGCAACACCACCATTTATTGACTAACTTTTTTTTTTTTTTTTTTTGAGATGGAGTTTTGCTCTTGTTACCCAGGCTGGAGTGCAATGGCGCCATCTCGGCTCACCTCAACCTCTGCCTCCTGGGTTCAGGCAATTCTCCTGCCTCAGCCTCCTGAGTAGCTGGGATTACAGGCATGCGCCACCCTGCCCAGCTAATTTTTTGTATTTTTAGTAGAGACAGGGTTTCACCATGTTGACCGCACCCGGCCTATTGACTAATTATTATAGTTAGGATACAGTTACTATTATCTGCATTCTACACCATGGAAACTGAAGTTCAGGGAATTTAAGATTATTCAGCAACGAAAGGTCGAAACTACCATTAAGTTTGTGGTCTGATTTTTTAGCTCCAATTAAATAAAAATACTGATAAGAGTTTGCTAAATATGTTAGGCTAAGCGTGGGATTTCAAAAGTTGCAAACGTACATGTAAGACTAAAAATACGCCCGGGCGTGGTGGCTCACGCCTATAATCCCAGCACTTTGGGAGGCGGAGATGGGTGGATCACGGGGTCAAGAGATCGAGACCATCCTGGTCAACGTGGTGAAACCACGTCTCTACTAAAAATAAAAAAATTAGCTGGGCGTGGTGGTGCGTGCCTGTAATCCCAGCTACTCAGGAGGCTGAGGCAGGAGAATTGCCTGAACCCAGGAGGCGGAGGTTGTGGTGAGCCGAGATCGTGCCATTGCACTCCAGCCTGGGTAACAAGTTTTTGAGCAAAACTCCGTCTCAAAAAAAAAAAAAAAAAAACTAAAAATATAAATACCAAACAACTGATAAAGAAAAAAGATGATACAGCGTTTCAGCAGAGTGGGAAATTCTCAAGATTGGCGTTGTTCAAGCAAGACTTCATACTACTGATAAGAGCACTCAAGGACCAGGTGGTAAAGACAGGGGTGGCCATTCCAGGAAGAGGGAACAGAGGGAAGATGGCTTATGGTGTGTTCGGAAGAGAACAGCTGTATAGATTTTACTGGGATAGAAACTTTAATATTCATTCAGTCACTTATATATTTATTTTGTAATAGAATAGTGCCTTGGCACTTTCTGATGGACAAGAAGAAAGCCAATATTTGTTTCTGGTCAGATGCAACACACATGAGAGCATGAGTCAGGCCTGGAGAATTTGCATAGTTATATAATGCCTTATGAATTGGGAATGTTCAAGTGGCAACTGTGTGCGTAACTCTTGGGTGTCAAGGAGAAGGTCGTTACATTCTAAGTTGGTTTCTATAAAAATTTTGGCAATCAAATTTTTAGGGAATCCTTCTTATGTCTAAATGATTAGAGATGGCATTTACAACAATTATTAGAATTAGCGAATGGTAAGAGATCAGAGATAGAGTTTAGTAGTCACTCGTTTTGATTTAGCAATTGTCTATTTTCTTATAATCATGGTATCACTTTTACCATGAAAGAATTTTCTGTCCATTTGGCCCCATTCAGTTGTTTTCTTTGTTTTTAACCAAAATTTTAACTTTTTAATAACATTTCTTCTGATACGTATAGAAGGATTTTTCAATGATTACAGAAATAAAAGGGTACACATTTTATTTTTCAGAAGTTCCTATAAACAAAGGTACAACAAAAGACATGGTTTTTCATTTCCCATTTGCTGTAATATGAACAAAAACTTTTTCTAAGCCATTAACAGCCAATGAAAGAAAAGTACAATACATTCACATCACACTGAACAAAGTCTCAAAACTAAATACACTAATTTTTTTATTACTTATGAAAAATTATACATAGATATACAGACATACATATATACACTCACAAACACACACAGACAGCACTGTATACAGAGTAGGTTCTCTTTTGCCTTCTGAATGCTAATTCTATTTCTTAATTTGTAAGATCAATTCAGGTTCCAGGTAATCATTTTGGAATAAAAAGTAGAATATTAGGCTGGGCACGGTGCCTCATGCCTAATCCCAGCCCTCTGGGAGGCTGAGGCAGGTGGATCACCTGTAGTTAGGAGTTTGAGACCAGTCTGGCCAAAATGGTGAAACCCCATCTCTACTAAAAATCCAAAAAAAATTAGCCAGGTGTGGTAGTGGGCACCTGTAATCCCAGCTACTTGGGAGGCTGAGGCAAGAGTATCTCTTGAACCCTGGAGGTGGAGGTTGCAGTGAGCTGAGATCCTACCATTGCACTCCAGCCTGGGCCACAAGAATGAGATTCCATCTCAAAAAAAAAAAAAAGGTAGGCTATTGACCATACAGAGGAACTTGTTGCCTGAATGATTTAGATCTAACTCAAATCTATATAAAAATGTATGTACAAAAAGATGCATAATTTTCTAATTATTTTAAAAGATGTACTCAAATATTTTAATCAGTTAAAATGTTGTTAATACCTGAAGAATTATAATGTTATAACTTGGAACTCTTTCTCACTTCATCCTTACAATGAGTCCTGCTTTAGAAACTTAATATGGCTACTCCTTTCTCCTTTCAGCCTCTCTATATTTGTATGAGTTCGTTCTCAGAATCTTTTCAGTTTACTCTTATCAATTACCTTCTCAAAACACTGTTTCAAAACTTCTAAGAATTCACCTCAGCTAATCTCATCCAACTCTAAAGATATTTTTATTTTTATTTCCTTGAGGGCTATTGTAATTACCATGCCATTATTGTAATGTTACTTTATAAATGTTCTTTTCAGATTTTATTGCTTGCTTGTATTTTTCTTATTCTTCTAAAAAAGAACATAAACTTTTTGAGGACAGATAATAATATTTATGTTTGTGAAATTGGTTCGGTGCATATTTTACAGTATTCCTCACTTTGAGTACATTTACTGTCTGGGTGAGATTAATAGAGTTATTTCTCATAGTTATGGGGTTAATACTGTCAGTTAAAGAAAAGCTATAGTAATTATTCATATCAATATGCCTTTCATTTAAATATGGTTTATGCGAAAACATACTGTGTATTAAATTAGAATTGAACATTCCTATATAGATCATAAGTGCTGCTAATATTGCTCAGTGTTTTCATCTTCCTAATGAAAACTAGTATTCAGCCCCACTACTGAATTAAAATTTTATTTTTAAAGTTTTATATTTTTATAGCTTCATTTGAGTAAGAAAAAAGAACAGTTGAATCAGAATTTTAAATAGAATGATCCCCAATGCTGCACTTGACACTTGGGTCTCCAGGATGTACTATTGCTTTCTTTAGAATGTCACACTCCTACTTTTGCCTTGTTCTTATCATCTGCTTTGCTGGGTTGTCCTTTGCTGTCTCATTAAAAATCTTAGACTTCGGTATACTGTAAGTGATTTCGAGTTTGTTGCTTACAGGAAATAAAGAGGCCCAAATACAGTCATGGAAAGACGATTTTGCTTCCTTCACTGTACAAACAACTATCACCACATGCACCCACCTGCCTGCTCCAATCTACTCTTCATTTTCTCCTCTTACTATGCATGGCCTCCGTGTACCAATCTTCTTGTGCTGCAAGTATCACACCCTATCATTACTCAAGGACTTTGCATCAGAAATTCTTTCTTTTATCTCATCAACGTTGCCCTCTCTATTTGATTTTTCCCACCAGTGTATTTAAAAAGCTATTTTTCCAGTTGTTAAAGCAAGCAAGCAAAACTCCTTTCATATTCCATGTCCCTCTTCAGCCATTACCACACTTCTCTCTCTCCTTTCCCAGCAAAACTCCTAAAATAATTGTTTTTGATAGCACTCC